TGGAGGAGGATATCTTGCTCAGAATAGTGAATGGACAGCATAGGAGAGGAAGACCCAAGATAAGATCGATTGATACAGAAACTGGGGCAAAAGGGGGTAGGTGTGTTACAATCAGAGAGACTGACTCAGGACAGGGCAGGCTTCAGAGATGCTGTACATAGGATCACTATGAATTGTAGGTGACTTGACAGGACCTAACAACAACAATATCTAACTTTGCTGGAGTTGTGCTACCAACACGAAGGCAAGGAGTTCAAACCCACCAGATGCTCTGTGGGAGAAAGATGGACAATTTTCTCCTGATTTACAGCCTCTGAAAATCCACTGGAGAGCCAGCTGTGACTCAGTACCAACTCAAAGGCTAAAAACAACATTTATACAACGGACTAAACAGATAAGACTTTTTTTACATAAGTGAATCACAAAGTAATATACTTCATAGAGTGCAAAATACACCCCATATATATATTATGTATTCATAGAGAAGTCTAATAAATCTGAATTTAGTCAGTAAAGAAGAACAAAAGTAATAATAAAAATTAATCTGCCTATATTTAAAAAAAGAATTACTAAATTGAAAAATATATAAAATATTTACTATTTGTAATAATGGCAAAATTTCAAATGTGTCTTTGTCTTGGCAAAGATTATGTATATTTATTTATCCATTTACTATGCAATAGTGTTAAATATAAATTTGTACTGCCTCCAATGTTGACAAGAATATGGGGATATATATTTGCTCATTTTTAGTGATTGTGTAAGAGTCTATACTTTCTGGAGGGCAACTTGGCTGTATATAGGTAACAATTTTTATATTCTCTGCCTCGGTAATGAGAGATGTTCACAGTAACTATACAAGCTTTTTCATGTACAGCATCATTAACAATAGTTAAAATTGGACATATACCAAGTTTCTAACAATAGGAGATTGATGAAATAATGCATAAAGGAATGCAGGATATCTATTAAAATAGTGTTACAATTTAATGGCATGGGAAAATGTTCGCAGCAGTCAGCTAAGGGGGGGGCATGTTTTTTATGTATACAATGATTCCATTCTGAAAAACAGTAAATAGGTAAGATATGAGAATAAACATAAAAATGTCACCAGTTATCTCTGGGTCGTGTTCATGACAGAGGAGGCATTTATAGATGATGTGGGCTTTTTGGTTTTTGAAATTTGAAACCATTTAATTGTCAACATTTTGTTTTCATTTTATCATTACTTCAAAATAAGACATAAAAATTGAAACTACAGAATCATAGAAGTTGAGAGCTGAAAATCCTTTAATTCTATGTTACGGCTCACTTGACATCCGAGGAAAGCAGTGCTAAAGTTATGCTATGTGCCTGTCAAGCTGACGACCAGCCCAGATAGTCTGTTCCCTCTTTCTTCTTTGGCATAGCTAAGCTATTGAACTCAGTGTTTATCATCAAAGGTTTTTATTAGTGACTTTATTTAGAATAATCCTCTTCGGAACAAAAGGAAAATGCTACCAAGTATACTCCTGACTGTTCTTCCCCTTTCTTTCGCTTGTATGAACTGGACCTTGAACTGGATCAAGTATCTTGAACAAGAAAATGGAACAGTTCTTTTTGTTTCCTCATTTCTACCCTTGCCCCACTCAAATTAGCTAACTTTCATTACAGTAAATAATTCACTGTTTTGCAGTTATACAGTACCTTTGGGTAAAGGGACAGTCTCTCCAAACACTCATTAATCCTAAACACACTCTTGGAAGTAGGTAAAAATTACTAGGAAGGAGGAAGGGGGAGAGTAATGCCAAATGTAGTAAAAGATATCAATAAAACCACAGACTTGCCTCAATTTTCTGTGTGCTAAAATCTCTGTGATGGTGTCTATGCAACGGTGAGCCTCTATATGCTGGCAGTAGTGGAGAAAGGAATGATTTGGTATATACAGTGTCTAAATTTTCTAGGCAAATGTTACCTTTTATGTTTTCTATTTTACTTTCTATTTAACTTTTTAAAGTCAAGATAGGTCAGTTCTTGGAAAAAGAAATATGCTGGGAAAGGTAGAGGGTCAGAGAAAGGGAGAAAACCCCTCAAAAAAGATGGAGTGACACGGTGATTTACAAATTCTGACATGAAGAGTATTGCCCAGGATAGGGCCAAGTGCAGATCTTCTGTTTGTAGGCTTGACATGAGATCATGGTCCACTTGAGGGAACCTGACAACAATAACAATAAAGCCCAGTTGGGCATATTTACTCTCGACAAACAGGGTCATTCTGAGTGGAAGTTTATTTGATGCCAACAAACAGTGTATAGTAATATGAAGCATAGTACTGTAAACTCCAGAACAGATATCTGGATCTTGGTTAATACCATTTACTAGGTGTGTGGTATTTGGGCATATCATTTACATTTTGTAACCTCAGTTTACTTATCTGTAAGATGGGAAGTAATAATAAGACTTAACTCTTAGTGAAGATTAAATGAATTATAAATATGGTTTGCATCATATGTATATAGCAGTAAATTTTTATTTATATGTAAATTACATAGCAGTGCCTAGAATATACAATTAGTTACTGTGAGCTCTGAAATAGAATATCATTTATATGGATACATTAATAAAATAAAAAGAGATAATACTTCTATTACACCTATATAATTTAGCATCAAAGAGATTTAGTAAAAACGAGAAAGGCACCACAAATCCTTAATGTTAGGCTAACAGTAGATGAGTGTAAAGGTTGGGAGAGATTGTAGTTAAGAAATAATTGAATTGGAAACATTATATTCCATCAATAGAGTACTACATATGCTCTAGTATAAAACCTCCAGAAAAGAGTATCACTCTCTGTGTTCACTTAATAACATGGTACTTGAATTACTATTTAACTGCAATTCATAAACATACTGAAATAAGACCACTGTCACCATTCAAACCTTTTTTGATGGTTTGACATTAAGAGTTTATCCTTCATCTACTACATGGAAAAATTGATTTAGTTCACTGGAGTGGACTATTAACATCCTTTGCTTATGTGATTCTATCCTTCTTATCATACACTCAGTACTGGGGAAAGACAAAATAAAGAAATATTCTTAGTGATAAAATCATGTGTCTCCTGTTAAAAAAACATTTTCAGGAACTCCTCATAAGATAGATAGCTAGATAGATAGATAATAGAGAGAGTGAGTGAGTCCTTGGGGAATGGAGAATGACATCAAGCTTGCATGGGTGGAGGATCAGTGCAGGAGAGGAAGATCCTGGAAGGGATGGATTGACACAGTGACTGGGGTAATGGGAACAGATAATAAACCCAGTGACAGGGGTGATGGGGTCAGAGATAGTGAGAGTGAGTCTGTAGAGCAGGGCTCAGAGCTAGTGTTCATAGGGGTGCTATGAGTCACAGTCAACTTGATGGCACATAACAACAATATAGCAGTATTATTATAGGCATTACTAACCACCTTTAACACAATCTTTAATCAACATGATGGATTATATATACACATACACACACACACACACACACACACATTAAAACTCTAGATAAACATTAGTTAAATGAATCATTAAATCTACCTGGCATCATGGTTTTTGTTGTTCTGTATCTTTCTCACTGTAAAATTAGAAATTTTATAAAATTATACTTCTCAAAAACTGCATTTTTATTTACTATGAAGACTTTCCTCTGTTGAATATTAGGTGTTGGTATCATCAGAACAACATTTGACGGCATTACAAATGAGATTCAAGATGTTCATAAATCTGGACAAGATTAGAACCTCTTTTTATCTTGACTTATATTCAGGAAGTAATTTATTTTGCTAAAAAAGAACAAATGGCTCCGTCACCCCAGTGTGACCGCTAAGTCAAGATACAGCACAGGGCATCTGGCCTGAGTCAGAGCAGTTGGTTGAGGGGAGGGGTTATTCAGAATCCCAGCATTCTCCAATCATTGCTAGAGTTAACACAGGCAACACAAATGGGAAACATGCAAGACAGCTTGATAATGAAGGCAATCCAGACAGGACTGTGTTAAAGTTTAGTCCAACCCATTTAACAGTGTTCTCTGGTCCTTAAGGTAGCTTCAAATAGGACATGTGTTGTTTGTTGTTCTGGACCATCGAGTCTGAACAAACTCATAGCTGAAAACTGCAGAGGGATTGCCTGAGCCAATATAATCACACAGGAGGAGAATGTCCATCTCTCTCCCATGGCGCAGCTGATGCCCCCTGAACCACATGCCTTCGACTTGGCAGCACAGCTCCTTACCACTTGGCGACCAAGTTTATTTGTTGTTTTCATTAGGTGCTGTCAAGTTGAGTAGGACTCATAGTGACTTCATGATCAACAGCCCTGAACCCTGTCTTATCCTGTGCCATTTTCACCATCCCTAACACATTTTTAACATATCCCTAACACTCTGATAGAATTCTTCTAGGTGTTGTAAAATCAATTTCAGTCCAAACTAAATCAAATATTAATTGTATATTTTTAATGCTAAAATAACCAAAAGTTTTCTGTAGACTTAATTTAAATATATATATATATAAATATATATATATTGTGTATATGTATATATATAATAATGCTGATAGTTTTTTAGCAAAAAAGAATATAACCTCAAAACTAATATTAGAAACTGATACATTAGGAAGTGTTTTATTTCTAAGTTTTAAAATTTTGTAAACAATACCATTTTGATGAGATAAAAATATTTTATACCATATAACCTTTACAAACAATATGTTAATGACATGTGTTTAAAATAGAACCCTAACTAGGTGAATTTCCACAGTGATTGCAGCAATGGGCTTAAGTGCATCAGTGACTTGGGAGGATGACAAGGGATGGGACAGGGCTCAGATCTGTTCATAAGATTGCTATGAGTCATATGGGACTCAGTGTCACCTACAAACAACAGTGGCAACCAGAGGGTAAATAAGACTCTACAGCAAATATTCACTATTGGTTCAATACCAATTTAGCAAAGTATTGTATTTAAGTCTTGTACTTACATTAGTATCTTTTCCAGCTAATTTGCATAATTCCACTCGCTCCTTTGCAGCTGGCCAATAAATCTGTAAAACATTTCATGGTATGTTAGAATTTGACTATCTGTGATACAAAACACCATATATTTCTGAATGGAGAAATAAATAGGTTAAATTGAAGAATGAATGTCAAAGGAGGAAAAGCCTTAGACTTAATGTGAAGTTTTTGATACTTAAATACTTTTCCAATGCCATCCTTGAATATTTTTAAAACTCTGTAAAAATATTAATTTTATAGTTTTGTTTAAGTGCATGTAATAATTGGTAAACTGCATTCAGAGGGCAGTGAGCTCTTATTGTAAAGTCAACAGAATTTTAGATTGTCATTTGCTTAAGAAACAGCTCTATTGGCCCCGTTTTTCATACTTTGCAAAATGGCAAAGCTTTAAACCATGTAAGATTAGATGGAAGAAACAACCGTTTGTCACAAAATTACCACTCCCAGTCAAAGACCACTTAACAAGTGTGGAACTCAGATATATCTGTTGTTGTTGTTGTTGTAAATCTGTTACCTAGTTAAATATTTTGTAAGCATTATCATATTTATATCTCACAACAGCTCTACATGGTCATAGTAATCATTCTCCTCATTGCTTGGTCCAAAACCTCATATAACTATTAAATAATGCGCAAAGGGCTTTAAAGCTGCACTGCACAAATTCCGACTCAAAATCTATGTTCTGAGCTAAAAAATCTATATTATAAAGAGCATCAAACTCCCTCATCAGTTGTTCTTAATCATGCAGGACTCAGAGTACTCAGTGTTTCTCCTCCTTTCTATTGTTTTTAACATACTAGAAATAGTAACGGGACAATTTTGCAAAATAGAATCCAAACAGGTATCTAATTTTTAGATTACTGAGAGAATTGTTCTCTGTTAAGCTTTAGGCAAGAATCAACAAGAAAAACAAGCTCTGAGTTGCTTACAAGTGAATGAACCAAGATGCTCCTGACAAACTTTTATTTTATTTCTCACCAGAGTTAGCAGAATCTATTCTAATGAACGAGAGGAGAAATATTGTGAAGGAATACACTAAAAGTGACTATAACCTATAATTAACAAATGATTCAGAAGTCACCAGTGTGACTTTATCTTTACAGTAAAATTTAGATTTTTATGTCTCCAAATAAAGATAAGCAGACAATAGCATGAGAAGGTTTCCTAGCAGATAATGCAGTGAAATTTTTGAAATTGAAGCAAGTTTAAAGCACACATTAACAACCCATAAAATTACTACTGAAAAGTTGGGAGTTTGTGTCAGAACTAGGTTCTACGGATAAGCTATCTTTAATGTGATTCACAAAAATATCTAAAGACTTATTTATTCATATGTTGCTTAAGCTACTGTAATTAGGCACTCATACAACTTTTAATTGTAGTCAGTTATGAAAAATTAATGCGGTAGAGCAATGAAAACCACTATGGATTGCTCTTCTAATATAGCAAAATCTAGAGGAGGAAAAATAAGCACATCTTCCATACTTAAACATATGTCTTTTAATTTTTAAAAACTTAAGATCAAAACCATGGTTTTTTGGGTATACATGTATATGTAATACATATGTCTAAAGAAAAGCAAGAAAACAGTGAATAGATGATTAAAAATAATAGTTTACCTAAATGGGGGGAAAGAAAAGGAATGAATGAGTTGGTTATGAAAAACAAATGATTTTATAAGATTCTTGCTTTTCTTTTGGGTAATAGCATGTTTTTAGGTGCTTGATATATGACTGCTCTTGTTACGTATCCTCAAGTGTGAACAAATACACAGCTGACCCTCTAGTGGATTTTCAGAGGCAGGAAATCACACTGGTGATGACTGGCTGGCTATATTTCTCCTGAAGAGCCATTTGAACAGATTGCCTTTGGGTTGGCAGCACAACTCCTTGCTGTGAGACCTCCATAATACATAATTAAAACCAAGTAAATAATACAGAATTCCTAGGTGGTTAAAATGGTTAACACAATGTTAACTAACCAAAAGTTTGGAGGTCACAAGAAATGCCTGGCAATCTACTTCCAAAAACTCAGCCACTGAGGGTCCTACGAAGCAAAGTTCTCTGATAAATATATGATAAGCATCAATCGGAATTAATTCGCTGGCAATCAGTAAGTAATACTGCTGTTGTTAGGTGCCACTGAGTTGATCCTGACTCATAAAGCCGACACACGTGAACAAACATTGCCTAGTCCTTTATCATCCTTACAATTATTGTGATATTTGGTTCTATTGTTGCAGTCCTTTGCCAAGCATGGCGTCCTTCTCTAGTAACTGATCCTTCCATGTGGCTTTTTCAGACTTTTAGAGACAAATTTAGTCACTCATGCCTCTAAGAAATATTTTTGTTATACTTCTTTGAAGACAAATTTGTTTTTGTTTTTTTTAGAGGTCCATTTTATACTCAATACTCTTTGTCAGTTCCATAATTCAAATACACCAATTCTTTTATGGTCTTCCTTAGTGGATGACAATTGGGTTGGAACATAACACAAGTTAGTAAATTAATAAGTCAGGCTGGTGATTATGTTATGAATCTATAATTATGAGACTTTAACTATATGAAAAAATCTGAATCAAGCAGGAAACATGAAAATATCTTTCTCACCTGTTGAAAGTAAAAATACTGGTGTCATGAGTTGAATTGTATCCCCACTCAACTACATGTATGCAGTGATATATTGTGAAAGCTATACCCCTGAACTGATAAATCAAATTGTTTAAGGGTGGAAAGGAACACCTTTTAATCTCAACAGAGCCCTAATTGGACACAAAAGTTGTTAGGTCTGCAATACCTTGTCTTGCTAGAAATGAAAGGGGAGGAAAGTTAACCTAGAAAGGGCAGGGGGCTGGGAATAGTATCACCCAGAAAGAATTTCCAGAAGTAGAGTCTATCTTTTGGGATTCATGCCCCGGTGTAAAGAATTTCCTTGACACTTGGGAAGATCAAGACACATGGAAGTCTTCCTACAGAAGCTGAAGGAAACACGGACTTTCCTTCAGAACCAACAGAGATCAGGCCTTCCTCTAAAGTAGGACTCTTTTTTCTCTTTATAAAAGAACACAAATATTTAAAAGAAGTTTTAATTACTTCTTCAATATTTTCAGTTATTGGTTATAAGTTATAGGACTGAAAGTTGAGTTGTATCATACTAGTTGATGAAGTAAAAAGAATTACAAATTTCAGAGACTAGTAGTCAAATATAAAACAGGAATATGTATGCATAGAAAATTTGTTGGACTCTAGAAAGCAATTTTTAGAAATCTTCTAATTTCTGTTTACATATTTTGTTTACTTCATGAAATTTTAATCCACATCACGGTATTCATACTCAGTCTCATAATGTCTAAGACCTGACTAAAATAGAAATTATCATTTGAGCATTATTATTATTAAACAGAGATTTCATTATATTCTCAGGAAAAAATAATTTTACTTTTAAGGTAGCATTAAAACTTTCAAAATAGAGAATTATTGAGATTACATATTGGCTTACTTTGACACAATGCTGTCAAGAATTTAGGAATTAAAAATAACAATTTAGGAAACAGCTGGCTGTCTTCCAGCACTAGACATTTACTTAGAAGGAAAACAAAAAAAATCATTGTAGTTGTGCCATATTTAAAAGATGTTATTTTAATTATGATTTATAAGGGGATTTTCTTTTACTTCCTACCTACTCATTTGTATATAAAGGGGTTTATTGTTTGAAATATCCCCTTTGAAATTATATGGTAAAACAAATGAAAAGAAACAGAATTCCTCTTAATCTAAAAGGGAAACAAAACAAAGGAATAAAATCAACAAAATCCTACTATCTTACTTATATAAGATTGTCAGGGATATGGTGAAGTAAACCATTACTTATTTTTCAATTATTATTTTCAATTATTTTTCAATAGATTATTTCAAAACTGAAGTAAAAACTTAGCACACACAAATAATATCATTCAACTATTTCAGTATGTATTTTATAGTCAAATTGTATAATGTATACTATGTGTGTTTTTGTATGTGTGTGTAGGAAAATAACAAGAAATAGAAAAACAGAGTTAATGATATATAGAAGGAGAAAAAGAGATACAGATTCTAGAATAGCAAATATTTCATAATGACTTACATTTCAGTTTGATTAGCACAAAAATGAAGGCAACCTGAGCTCCTTAGATTATTTTAGCAGCCTAGTCAGTACAGTAAGATCACCTCACACTTGAAAACACATCATGCATTTGTACTCAAGTGGAATGTTCACTTAGGCTATGAAAAATTACATAAACAGAACAAGGGAATATATTGCCTGGTTTTAAATAATAATAATAATAAAATACATTGTCCACACCATCTACAGAAAGTGAGCTATGATGATCAACAAAGTATCTGAATAGTGCTGTGACAGCATGTGATCCTCCAATAACCCTTTTTTTTTTTCAATTGATCAACAAAAATGTCTGGGTATGTCAAAATCCTTGAAAATTGGCTTTTCTAGAAATTGTATTAGTCACCAATGAGGAGGCATAGTTTCTAGCTGTGGACACATGGTCCTGCAAATCATTAACAGCTGTAGGACTAATCTAAAAGAGAAAGCTTTCTACATGGTAAGGTACTCCAGTGATGACAGTGGTAGAGATATTGTGAAGAGACTGTGGCACTGCTGTGAAGATTGTAGCAAGGTGTAATCAGAGGAAAAGATGATTTGTAACTGCTCTGAGATAAAGACCACAGTTAAAGGTTTTACTTGCTAGATGATTAGAGAAAAAGCTGATTTGTAACTTGAGACAATGTTTGGTGAATTATTGAGGAAAACAAAGGTTTCTTGCCTTTGTGCTGCTGAACTTAACCTGGATTTTTCTTAATTGCATCTTGTTAATCTGGCTTAGTACTGCTGCACTAAACCTGGACTTGCATTGGGTGATACCTTTGTCTCCTCAAATTTCCAATCTATTTTCGGAATAAGTACACAACTGTGAATAAAGCATGTGGGTCAACAATAAACTCAAACCCAATTATTGATAGAGAAATAGGCAGAG